TGTAAAACTTGGACTCAGTTAAAAGGCCACACCCAAGGACCTCGAAGGCCACATGTGGCCACAGGGCCACAGGTTCCCCACCCCTGGCTTAAACCATCTTACCTTCATGCAGAGGATTCCCAAAACATTACCCCCACCTCCCACCTCTCTCCTGTACACCAGTCTCACAACTGCTGGCAAGACAGTTCCACCCCTATGTCTTCAAAAACCTTAAACTCAAAGCTTTGTGACCCTGGGCAAGTCACTTAATCTCAATACGTCTGTTTCATCATCTGTAAAATGAGGTAGTTGGTTCATTTCTACTCTGAATCTATGATCTTCTGAAAATCCAATCTTACCTCTAAAACTTGATTCTCCTCCTGATCCTTTTTTAAATCAGGGCTTTCCCACCACATCAAGCATTTTTCTCCTCTCCTCCCACCCAACAAAGGGAGAGAAACAAAACCCTTGCAACCAATATGTATAGTCAAGCAAAACAAATTTCCATATTAGAGGCACTTAGGTGGCACAGTAGATAGAGCACTAAGCCTGAAGTCTGGAAGACCTGAGGTCAAATTCAGCCTCAGACATTAGCTGTGTAACCCTGGGCAAATTATTTAACTTCTGTTTGCCTCAATTTCCTCAACTGTAAAATGGGTTTAATAAAAGCACCAACCCTTAGAGTTAACTGTGAATACCAAGTGAAATAATATTTGTAGCACAGTGTCTGGCACATAGTAGGCAAGTAATAGTTTTGTTTTGTTTTGTTTTTTGTCGAGGCAATCATGTCACACAGCTAGTAAGTATCAAGTGTCTGAGGCCATATTTGAACTCAGGTCCTCTTGACTTCCAAGGGCCGGTGCTTTACCCATTGTGCTACCTAGCTGCCCCAGAGCAAGCATATAAATAGCTATTTAAATGCTTCTTCTCTTCGCACCCTGCTGCACTTCCCTTCCATATTAGCTATGTCCAAAATAATGTTTCATTATGCAGATTAGAGTTCATTATTATCTCTTAGAAAGTATTCTTCATGGCTCTGAGCTGATCAGCATCAAGTCTTACAAAACTGTTCATTTTAAAAATGCTGTCATTCCAGCATAATTTGTTCTCCTGCTTCCGCTGACTTTAGTTCATAAATGTCTTCTCAGATTTTTCTGAAACCAACTCTTTCATCATTTCTTGGAGTTCTTGGGAAACAACAGTATTCTATTACATACATGTACCATAATTTGTTATCAGTTTCCACTTCTTTGCTACAGTGCCTTAGCACATAGCTGTCATTTTGGAAGAAGACCAATAACATCACAAGGTAATGTCTTGACTTGCTCCTGAACTGGACTTAAGTGAAGCAGAATTGCACAAAGTTATCAGCCTCCTCTTCTCTTCTAGAGTCACAATCAATGGCCCAGGATACAGTGGATGACTTTGGCACCTCTGATGTCTGACCACGCTCTAAAAACTCCACAGCAGTGGAGTGCTGCAGCCATCATGAGCCATTAAAACAAACTGTTCTCATCTGCCCATTCTGTCAGGGAAAGTCTTCACATGCACGGGGTGGACATCCCCCTAATTCAACAACTGGTTTGAGGCCTGTCACTTCATCTCAACCTGGTTTAGCCTAATTTTACAGGGTTCAGCCACTGTGCATGCTACAGCTTCTTAGAGCCACAGGTGAGGACTGGGTGACAGATGGACACCAAAGGTTGATGAGCAGCCCTGAAAAGGGCTCAGCAAGCCCTCACACCAGAGGTGCTAGTCCTCTTTGAACACCCCCATTCACCCTAGCACATAGTAAGAGCTTATTTCCTTCTTTGCCCCTTTTCCTCTTTGACTCCTTTTTATTAATAATAACATCCTTATCTTTCCAGGCTGTAAACCTCAAAATCATCTTTAACTCTTCCATTTTCCTAAGCCCCCACATTCCATCCATTGACAAGTCACATCAACCCAATTTTCCTTAGTATCTCTTTTCTATCCATCCTCTACTCTCCAATACCATCACCACCAACCTAGTCTTGACTCATTACTTCTTGCCTGGATTATTGCAATCGTGTGCTGAATGTTTATTTCTACAACAATTTAAGGTACACAAAAAGAGGCAACACAGGTCAGTGGATAAAAAGCATCATAGATGGGAAAAGCTGGGTTCAAGTCTTGACTCTCACACAGACTAGTTGTTTGACCCAGAGTACAGCATTCTACCTGTTACACTACACTGCCTCTCTAACATGATGTTAGAAATTAGAACTTCATTTTAGCAAAAGTCAGAGATATCACAAGATCAGGTCATTTATTTAACAAACATATGTTAAGCACCATGATTAATAAAGGTATTTTTGTTGTTCAGTTGAGTCTGAACTCTAAGTGACTGATTTGGGGTTTTCTTAGCAAAGGTACTGCAGTGGTGCCACTTCCTTCTCCAGCTCATTTTACAGATGAGGGAACTGAGGCAAAAGTTAAGTGACTTGCCCAGGGTCACATAGGTGCCACCCAGCTGCCCCTAATAAGGGTATCAGCCTTGTACTACTACATAACTAAGTGGTTCTACTATACTACTGTTCTCAATTTTTATAAAGAATAGCTTTATAATAAAAATAAGCACACATATCTCAGAATGAACATAAAGAGTACATTCCACCATTTCCCAATGTAATACAACCAACTCAATTTTTAGAATGTCATTGTTATGATTATAAATGAGACAGCTTATGAATCTAAAATTTCCAAGAAACTTTTCCCAAATTCAGCTTTCTTAAGGGTATGAGTGGCAACATGTGTTTCCATTATCCCAGGCAGGAGTAAAATACATTTCTCGGAAGTATCTGACTCTATAATTTTATGTTTTAAAAGTCTGATTCAAAAATACTGAAAGGAAATTCTAGTAAAATGGAATACCAGGTTTTATTTTATATAGTTTACAAAAATTGAACAGCTAACTAGTCAATAACTGTTTCAAACACATCCTCAAACCACTAAAGCTTTGAAAAAATGAACTGCTTTGCATTTTAATAGGAAATGCAATTAGAGATTATTTCTCACTATTCAGTATTTATTTCATTTATTGTCAGCACAGTTCAAGAGGGAACATTTTTACACAATTGTATAGCAGTACAAAGTAGTTTTTCAATTACAGGGGAAATTGCAAAGCAGTGCAAAGTAATTTTTCAATTACAGAAGAAATTGTAATCAAAACCAGAATTCTGTTCCTAGCTGACTGAAAAACTCCTTCAATAGGTGAAATTTCAACAGGTTATTTTGGGGAGAGAAGGGAGAAGTGATGAGTTTCTAATATAGTCTTTACAAAAATCTTTTTTTTTTTTAACAAAAATCTTTAAGAAAAACTTTAAACGTGAGCCAAAATACTTTTTATTACCTTTCCTTCTGAAAAAAATTTCGAAAGGAAAACAATCATCTGTGCCCCGGAGGGCTATGTTTGTTATTACTGGCTTACCCCCTCTCTCGTAAATTGTCTGGCTTGCTCACCAAAGCGCCATTCGTATGGGGGGGGGGGATGTATATAATTTTAAAACTGGAATGAAAGAAAGCTAATAATGCAAGAAGTGGAAAGAAAAGGGCATAGTTTTGTCCACAACACAAGAAAGGCCAGATCGTATTCAACTTCCTCCCAGAAAAGGCACACAAACTGCAAACCACTTGTTCCACCGAAGAAAGCTCTCTGATTAAGGAGAAAGGAGGATACAATCGGCCCTCTGATTAAGTGAACTCCATTCACCACGTCGCGAGAGCCCAGGAAAACTGCACAGGTGGGATAATAAAAAAGGGGAGGGGCCCGGCTCGCTCCCCGCCTACAGCCGAGGAGGCCCCCAGCGCGCACCCTGGCCACTCGCCCCACTACCCCGCGCGGCGTGGGCCGGCGGAGAGGAGGGGCGGGGGGGCGGCTGGAGGGGCTGGAGGGGAAAGGCACCAGCCAAGCACACCTGGGCTCCCTCGGGGAGCGCGACTCACCTGCGCCCCACCCACCCCGACACCCAGGAGGCGCCTATTCCCCGCGGGTGGCTGGCCGCACAGCCCGGGAGCCGGCCGCCGCAGCCCGGAGCTAGCCCGGAGCTAGCCCGGAGCCTAGGAGGAGAAAAGAATGGGCGTGTAGAGCGGGCCTCGGAACAAAGGCGCGCACCCCCTCCGCTCTGCCCTACCTGGCCTGGGGTGGGGGTACGGGGGCCCCGAAACCCGTCCGGGCGCAGCGCCATCTCCCCTTCCCAGGCGAGGAAGGTGGGGAGCCTCCCGCCCACACAAACACCTCTCCTTCGGGACAATAGGGTCCCGCCCCTCCCGTCCGAAGGCAGCCCCGAGATACAAAGGAAGCCGAGGCGCTGGCCGCCCCTGGCCCGCCCCAAGGAGGGGAAAAGGGAGAAAGGGACTGGGGGGAGAGGGGGTTAAGGGAAGAGGGGAGGGGAACAAAAGAGGAGGGGACAAGGGGCGAGGGGGGGAAGGGAAGGAGGAGGGAGGGGACTAAAGGAAGAGGGGACAAGGAGAAAAAGGGGAGGCAAGGGGAAAAGGGAGGGGCAGGGGCGGGGGGCAAGGAGAGGAGGGGGCTGAGGGAAGAGAAGAGAGGGAGCAAATGGAAAGAACGGGGAGAAGAGGAGCGAAGGAGGGGCGGGGGTCGAGGGGAGGAGGGGGCTAAGGGAAGAAGGGGCGAGGATAAGAGGGGAAGGGGGAGCAAGGGGAGGGGGCTCACCCCCCCCAAGATGCGGGCACGGAAAGGAGGGGAGGGGCCCCCCTCCAGCGGAAGCCGTGGTCGGCGGGGGCCACAAGGCGCCCCTCGGCCCCCCAGCGGGCGGAGAGCGCGGGGCCCAGAGGGGGGCTCGGCGGAGGGGCTTGCACACAAAGAGAAAGGGACTCGCCCCCGCCCCCAGTCCCTGGCGCCCCCACGGTCGCACGGGACTCAATGGGCGCCCCCTCCCGCTCCTCCCGCTCACAGTCCGGTCCAGCCCGGCCCCGGGCGGAGGGGAGGGGAGGGGAGTGGGTGCGCCCTTGGGCAGCTCGGCTCGCCCCGCACTCACCCACAGCTCCGTGCCCCAGCTCATGGCGGAACTCGAGGCGCCTCGGGCGGGCGGTCAGTCGGTCGGTTGGTCTGTCCGCTCGCTCGCTCGCGGTCCCGTCAGTCAGTCCTTCCCTCCGGCTTGAGGCTGCTGCCGCCGCTGGGCTCCCCAGTGAGTGAGTGAGTGAGTGCGAGACCAGACTGGAGGAGCCGCCGCCGCCGCCGCCGCGTCCCCGCCTCCCGGAGCACTGGGAGGGGGAGAACGAAGGGAGGGGGAATGGAGCGGGAGAGTCGCGGTGCACGCCGGGATCGGGGAGGACCCGCACCGCCCCGCAGCGCCGCGTCGGACCGGGAGCCAGGGCTCCCGGCGGACCGCCGCGCTCTTCGGGGCCTGGGAGGCGTCCTCGGGGAGGCGGGAGAGAGGAAAGGAAAAAATACACTCTCCCCCACCCAACCCTCGGGCTCGGGCTCGGAACCCGCCGCTGGGCAGCCGCACACCCTTCACACCTCCCTTCCCCTCCCCAGGAAAAGCGCCGGCCGCGAGCTTCAGAGTAATCATGCCGATGTTTTGCTGTTTACGCGGTTTCTTTTTGCATATTTGCATATTTTAAATGCCTGGGCCCCGGAGAAGCCCGCAATTCCGGCGTTGGAAAGGACCGGCCATCCCACCCTGAAGAGCTCCCTCCATACCCATCAGAGGCTTGGCTTAGTGACTTCTAGTCACGAGGGAACCCCCCACCGCCCGAGGCTCCACTCTTGGACATCTCTTGTTTTTTTGGGAGACTTTCCCCACCTTCAAGCCTAAATTTTCATCTTTGCAAATTCCATCCAAAAATTCATAGTTATGCCCTGTGTGACTTGGCAAACCTAATCCCATTTCCATACAATAGCTCTTAAAATACTTGGAAACAATTAGTATTGAATAGCATGTCCTCCCTTGGATAGTAAGCTGGTGGTCCCCCTCATACCTTCTACTCCTAGGATCCTCAAAAGTCGTATTTATGGAGGGCTTTTTGGTTTACAAAACTTTTTTTTTAACATTTTCCCAAGATTATTCCTGCATTCCTAGAGACTGCGGATGATGAGACTGAGGCTCAGAAGTAGTAGGTGACTTGGCCTTGGTCACACGACAGGAACCCAGGACTTAAAATGTTTTTATTTATCTTTACATATATTTATAATTTGTGCCACTCCCCCCCATTTGGAGGAAAAATGGAAAAAAAAATAGTCCAACAGAGTAAATTCCCACATTAGCCGTGCATGAAAATCTATGTCCCGCCCTACCTTTAAGTGGTTTGTTTCTTCCTCAGTCTTCTGGATTCATGGCTTATGACTGCATTGATCAGGCTAAAAAAGTTCTCAACTCCAAATTCAATGCTCATGCCACTATTGGTTACCACTCACTTGTCGCATGTAAAATCTAGAGCCGGAAGGGACCTTAAGATCTTCTAAAACCAAACCCCTTCTTTCTACAGATAGAAGAAATGAAGCTCAGAGTTTAAGTGACATGCCTAAAGTCACAAAGGTAGTGAATGATAAAGACAGGATTAGGACCCCTATCAACCCATTTCAATCTAGTCTCTTTATCCCAGTATCAAACTACCTCTTCTGTCCTTGTGTCTTAGAGCCCTTCAAAGTCCCTAAAATTTCCGAATGGAGGAGAGAGTTTAAGTTCCAAACAGTAACAAAAAAAGGTGAACACAGTCCTGGACCTCTCTTGTGTACCAGGTTGTGGGAGGGTTTTTTAAGTGAAATGTTCTAATTTTGGAAGTTCTATATGAAACTCTATACAAGGAAAACCAATCAATACGTTTTTCAAAAGTCCACTTGTGGTGTTGTGAAATAAGATTCAGAACCACAACCAAATGAGAGCAGCTAGGAACTGAGACTCGTGTTCTACCACTTTCTCCACTAGGGAGATGATTGGATTTTTGGTAAGGGGGAGGAAGAGAAGACCTGTGAACCAGATACCTACCAGACTACATAAATTAAGCTTTGTGTCCATGAAGCTCTTCTGCATTTAGGATTTTATTTATTTATTTTTTGTTACCTTTGGATTATCTGCAACATTCGAGGCAGGGCTACCACCTCACTGAACAATCATTAACTACTCTCAGCTAGTTTAACTGGTCCCGTCAGCAACTCCCTAGTAAGCTTTAGTATTAATTACATCCCTGCTAAGAAAATTACATTGTAACCCACTTAGTTAACCCGGGACTTCCTGACCACTGTCTCAACAAAAGGAGGGAGGGGAGAAGCCAATAAGAGTTTAATCATATTATGAAGATCTAAAGTTATTTCACAGCAAACTGTACCTTGCCTCATGTTCCTACCCTGCAAAGATTGCCTTTCTGTCTATTTAATTTGAATCCCTCCCCTCATTAATCCATATGCTTCTTTACACTCTCTTAAATCAGCAGTTAGCCTAGGGTAGCTTTTGACTTAATGTACCTGATCTGAGCTCCTCCCCATAGTAGCTCAGTTGCTGAATTTTGTGCCCTCACTGAAACCAGCAGGACCATATATACTTGCACCCCCAGTTCCAAGTAGGTTGTGGCACATTTTAAAATTTCCAAGCATATTATTCAATGGAACAGTTACAGAGCGCTGATTTAATACTTCCTTCCAAATGCACGATTCTTTCCTATTCTGCTATTTTAAATCTAATGTCACTCATAGAGTCCTCAGTGGCATTGTGAATCACTTGACTTCACTGCGGTGACCCTGCTCTCTCCCTATCTACCACTTTTAATGTTTACCAAAAATGGTAAATAGTTATACTAAAACCATACCAATACTAACATTCATCTTAACTAAGTCACTGAATCAGAGATTTTAGTATGGGTATGGAAGCTTAATTTGAACCGCAGTGCTATGCTGGCTCATTGAACTGTATAATAATCTAAAATTCACTCTCTTATAAAACCTCTAATCATGCTTTGTATACAGACACCGGTGGAAGATACTGGCTTACCTCCTGAAGAAATGTGGTGGGTTGTTTGTTTTGTTTTGTTTTGTTTTTTAGAAGTTTCTGAACAGGAATCCACTTTTAGGACAATTTCTCTTTGAAGATTATACATTTCCAAACGTCACTTCATATGTTTCCATACAAAATGAAAACCCAAGGACAGGGGAGGGGAAGGGATAATTATGTTTATCCCATGATTACCTTAAGATTTCTTAGTGTAATTTGACTCTAACATCCATTGAGAATCCTTTCTGAAAATAAAACTATTTCCTCTGAATCATGCAAACAATTAAACTAATAATATTACACAAAGTATTGCAGCTTGAACCTCTTACACAGATGGGAAAGTGATCTAGTCAAAATACCTATCTTCCCATTGATGCCAGAACTGATTAAGTTGATTCGACAGGTTAGCTGAAGGGTGCCTGTATCACTCCACCCCTCTCAGAGCTTTACATTCAGTTGAAAAGTACAGCCTTCCTGGACAGAACAATACCATTCTTTGGTCAAGGTTATAAGAGGAACTCAGCTTTCCTACTAGAAACTTCAAACAAGTTCTCAAAGTGTATTTATAGGCATCTATGATATTAAAACTTACTATGTTTCAACAAAGTCCATGAGTAATTGGCATACAAAGTAAAAGTCATCACTATAGAAGAAATTTGTATTTTTTATAACAGTAGAAAAAAAAATAGAAAGTAAGGGGGCAGCTAGGTGGCAATTGAGCACCGGCCCTGGAGTCAGGAGGACCTGAGCTCAAATTCAACCTCAGATACATAATACGTCCTAGCTGTGTGACTCTGGGCAAGTCACTTAATCCCAATTGCCTCACTAAAAAAAAAAAAAAAAATAGAAAGAAATTCAGTGGTACTGTATAGCTGAGAGTCAGGAAAATCCCAGTCTAAAAAAATTAAAGTTGAAGATCACCCAAAGGACACTGGAGAGGCACATGGTGGGTATGAGTAGGCTGAAACATAGTGCAAAGAAGAACTATACAGAAGCAGCATAGTGGTATGAAGGGTGTCATCAAAGAGATGTGTGGCAGAAAAAGACAATGGGTCAGTCATGTATCAAGAATGAGGGATAACCCCTGTGCTATGTGCTCCAACATGCAATTTAAAGAGATGTAGAACAGGGGTTCTTACCTTTTTGTGTGTCATAGACCCTTATGGCAGTTTGTAGAAACCTATGAACCTCTTCTTAGAACAATGTTTTTAAATTCATAAAATTAGGGAGAGGAGGACTAAGTATTTATATAACTCCCACAATGTAGCAAGCACTGTGCTAAGTACTTTTAAAAAAAACCATCTCATAATGCTGTACAGCCATGCTGTCTGATGACTAACTTTGATAGACTTAGCTCTTCTCAGCAATGCAAGGATCTAAGACATCTCCAAAAGTCTCAGGATGGAAAATGCTATCCACATCCAGAGAAAGAACTATGGAGTATGAATGCAGATCAAAGCGTACTATTTGCTCTTTTTTTTCTCCTGTTTTGTTTTGTTTCTTCTTTCTTGTGGTTCCTCCCATTGGTTATAATTCTTCTTTACAACATGACTAATGTGAAAATATGTTTAATAGGAATGTATATGTAGAGTCTATATCAGATTGCACGCCATCTTGGGGAGGGGGAGAGGGAAGAAGGAGGGGGAGAAAATTTAAAACTCAAAAGCTTATGGAAGTGAATGTTGAAAACTAAAAATAAATAATCAAAAAAAATTTAAATTATCTCATTTAATCATTTAAAATAAAACACTTAGGGTTACAAAAGAAACCAGTTATATTGAAATACAGTTAACAAAGTATTTTTTAAAGTTCATGAGCTCCAAGTTACAAGCCCCTGGTCTAGAAGACTGCAAGCACATTGGGTGGCACCCCTACAGAACAGAGAAATGGACTTGAGTCACATGGGATAAGTAAGCATAGATAGGTTTTGATCAGCATCTTTGGAGATTGTATCCATGCCTGTGATGTCATAGGTCCATCAGAGCATCAAAGGGTATTGCAAAAACAATAAAGTTTCAGGATATTCTTCTGTGGTAAAAAAAAAAAAATAGAAGCCAACATTATGCTGTAGAGTTTAGGTTTCCATATAAAACCCAGAAGTATTTTATTTACTTGATATATATGTTAACAATTTGCAAAGTCTTGAAAAGATGACAAGTCTATGGGCTATTCTGTGAGTTTCCATTTTAGCCTCCATTAAATT